TCAGGCCCCTACGACGGTTCGTTTCCATTGAAGGAACTGCCTCGCCGGCACACAACAGTTTGAAGATCCTGAAGCCTGCCAGCACATTGTGTTTCTGGATTTCAGCGCCACGTATCAACCTGACTGTTGCGTCTTGACGATCCAGAATCGTGCCAGAACGCCATTTTCGGGACTTCAACAAAGCGATTCAACAGAACTGTTGCGCCCGCATAATCCTGACTCCGACCACAACACCATTTCTGGTACGTTGATCATGGTATCCCGTGAACATCTAGGAAAAAAATCAAATGTGCGCGGCGCTCAAACGAATGCCACAATTTGAAAAGGACCTGCCCTCAATCCGTGAAACTCTTGCATCTTGCAACCAAATGCGCGCAACGCTCAAGCGAGAACCACATGTTGAAAACGGCCCGCCCTCAATCCGTAAAGCTCCTGCCAAATTTTAAGACGAAGGTGCGCGGCGCTCAGGCGAGAGCCACATTTTGAAAACGACCCGCCCACAATCCGCGAAACTCTTGCACATGTTTAAGAAAGATGTGCGCGGCGTTAAGGGGCGAATCACATTTTGAAAACCACCCGCACTGAATCCGTGAAACTCGTGGAAGTTGTTAAGACGAATGTGCGCGGCGCTAAGGCGAGGGCCTCAATTTGAAAACGTTGTGAAACTGTTGTCACTCTTCAAGCTGTCAAATCATGCATGGTGAGGAAGTCTCAGGCGAAACGCCCGGCCCGCCCTAAAAACTGGCCTCGGGGTGCGACATGGATGAGTTATCTATGAGGAGAAGGAATGCAGGAGGAGGAGGAGAAAGGAGGAGGAGGAGGAGGAGGAAGGAGGAGGAAGAAAAGGAGGAGGAGGAGGCGGAGGACGAGGAGGAGGAGGAAAAGGAGAAGGAGGAGAAGGAGGAGGAGGAGGGGGAGGAGGAGAGGAGAGAAGAGGAGAAAGGAGGAGGAGGAGGAGGAGAGGAGAGAGGAGGAGAAAGGAGGAGAAAGGAGGAGAAAGGAGGAGGAGGAGGAGGAGGAAGAGGGTACCCTTGCCCCCTCCGAGCGAGGGCGGGCGCCGGCGTGCGAGGCCCGCCGAGGGCCGCCGACTGCCAGCTGGTGGCCGCCCACTGCCCGCGGGTGCCCGGCGAGGAGGGCGGCCGGCGGAGGGCCTCCCGCCGGTCGAGCAGAGCAGCGCCTGGCTCGCCGCGCGGGGGGCGGGGGCGCACGGCCGCCGCGAGGGGAGCGCTCGAGGACGGGTTCCGTCCGGGGAGGGGGAGGAGGAGGAGGGGGGGGAGGAGGAGGAGGGGGAGGGGGAGGAGGAGGAGGGGGAGGAGGAGGAGGAGGAGGAGGAGGAGGAGGAGGAGGATGCGGAGGAGGAGGAGGAGGGGGAGGAGGAGGAGGAGGAGGAGGAGGAGCGGAGGAGGAGGAGGGGGAGGAGGAGGAGGAGGAGGGGGAGGAGGAGGAGGAGGAGGAGGAGGAGGAGGAGGAGGAGGAGGAGGAGGCCCAGGACGGGGCGTTCCCAAGACATGGCCCGACCCAGAGATCCGACGCTCCAACAAAAATCGGAGCGGCTGGTTTTGAACCCTTTTCGGCCTCTGGGAGCCCTCGCCGGGCCTCGGGCCGGTCAAACAAGAACGGCTCAGGGCGCAAAACCAGCCCTGGGGAAGTGGCCCAGACCTCAGGGGCCCATACCTCGAACAATAATTGAGCGGCCGGATATCTGGGGAAGAACGTGCGAAGCCCAGGGGGGGGTCGGGGCATGGGACACGGTCATGTGTTAGGACGAGGGTTACGTCATGATCGGATTACTGCTCAGGGCACGTTTCAGGAGCTCCAGGGCAGCCAGTGGCACGTGGTTCAGCAGCCCGTGCGGAAAGTTGGGCAATCTTCGGAAATCTGAAAATCTCGGAACGTATATGATCATGACCCCTTTCTCCGCTGAGTGCCGAGGCAAGCAGAGCGGCCTTGAAGCCTTCGGGAATCTTCTGACCCTGGTCAATCCAGACACGGGCCAGCCAGGCCTTGCAAAATCCTGCAAGATCCTGCACCCAGACCTGGGTCAATGCGAAGGATCCTGCACCCAAGCCCAGGCCAATGCGACCCTGGCCCTGCAGGATCATGCAAGATCGGGCGCTCTGGCTAACCCCCGTTTGCATTGACCCCCGTCTTGAGGCTCCCGCAGCCTGGAAGTCATCACGGCCACGGCCATGCTCCCCCCCCTGCCTTCGGGCGTCTCCGACACGAGACAAGGGGAGACCCGCCGTCGCTCGGCCGTCCACTCCCCGCTCGGCCGCGAGCGAGGAGGGGAATGATTTGGCTCCTCGAGGGACGCCAGCGAAGGGGACGTCGAGGCGTGCGAGTGGTGAAAGCGTCTTGCGGCGACCTTGTGGGCGAAGCCGAGCGGACTTGAGACGGCATCGCCCGTCTCAAAAGTCCCTTTCCCTGGGGTCCCTTTTGGAACCACGTGAGGGAAGTGAAAAGGAGAAGGCCTTCTCAGAAGGCTTGGAAGTCCCCCGGCCTCCTGAGAGGTGTTCTAAGCCTTCCCCGCGGACTTACCAAAAAAAGCTTCTCAGAAGGCGCGAGGGCTGAGAAGTCGCATCCTGAGACGGCATTCTCCTTTCCATGTCCCCCCCTCGCTGGCCGCCGACCCGTGCATGTTTCGACTTCGTGCGCGCATGTCTCGCAGGATGGCGAGGGGCCTCCTAGATGGGGTCCGAGCAGATCGGTTCGGAGGATCTCGCCGCATCGCCGATGCATCGGCGATGCATCGCCGATGCATCAGCGATACATCAGCGATGCACTGGCGACGTCGGCGGTGCATCGGCGACGTCGGCGTGGAGAGAATTGGGCCCCACATCGAGCCGCATCGCGGATGCATCGCCGATGCATCGCCGATGTGGCACGATCCTCCGACCCTGTCTACCCCGACCCCATCTAGGAGGCCCAGAGCGGTCCAGGATGCGCCTCGAGGGCCCCCCGCCGAGGAAGAAAAAAAGCACACGCCCGAGCGATGCCAGGGAAGAGAGGCTCGAGGCCGAGGGGACACGAGGACTCGGGGGGTGGCGGGGGGCGGCGCTGGCTCCGAGCGACCCCAGGCTGTGATTGAGCAGGGACCGACCGTGTTCTAAGACCACAAAAGCAATGTCCCTAGAACATAAGCCCGATGTGTCAAAACAGGACAGACTCAGCCAGACATGCTCTGAGAACATTTCGTGCAAACCACAAAAGGTTCTCAGAACATTTTGTCTGGTGGGCCTGTAGGCGAGCCAGGACGCTTCGTCACTGCTTGATGAAGGGGCCCAGGGACACGCAAACAAATAGAGACAAATCCCAGGACTCCCCATCCTTGTCCATATCTTCAGGGTGTTCGTCTTCCGCCCCCCTTCTCCCCACAATGTCGAAGATTTTCCTGGGAATCGACGTTTATTCGTGTCTATGTGTTGTTTCACCTCCTGGCAGACCTCCAGCTCATTGCGAACAGAAAAACACAGGTCACGTTCGAAGCTTTCGGCATCCAACGCCGTGCCCCGGGACCTGCACGAGACTATAGTCAGGAAGAAAAACCGGCCCCGAGGAAGGGGTCGAGAGGTAGTGGGACCCACGCATTGCATAACATCGCGCGAGAGCAGAACGCAGGCAGGCGGGCAGGCGGGCCACGGGCCTCCTCGTCTTCCTGCTCCTGCTGGATGTGTTGATGGTGACTCCGGCGCCGCCGCGGCGCCGCCGTCTGTGCCAGCTGATGCTGCCGAGTGTGCACGCATCCTCGGCCCAGCCCAGGGATGGGCCGGGGCCTGGAGAGGATCGGCCCTCGGCGGTGTCTCCCCAGCACGCGTTGGCCCGACTACCCACCAAACCACCCCAACCTGACCCGAAGACCAGAATTTCGGGTTGGGGGGGGGTACGCGACCCCCCTAGGAAATGGAGGGCAAATCGGGGCCTCCGGGTTGGGTTGGGGTGGTTTGGTGCGCAGTGGTGGCCTCTCGCCTTGCCTTAGGTCGGGCATGTCCCCCTACAGGCGGATTTTGGACCAAAAAAACACATAACAAATATTCAAGAACTGTACTAGATAATGAAAGCAAGAAATCTTCGCCAGTATCTCACTATTTTCGAATCTCCCTCCTGTGGAGGGAGGGACGTGCTCGACCTAAAGCCTTGTCCGCGGGTGCGCCGACACCGCCGAGGCCGGCCACGTCGGGGGCCGCACCCAAGGGCTGGCCACGGCCACCTGCCGCCTCCGCCGCTGCTGCCGCCGCTCCTGCGGCCGCGGACGCCGCCGCCGCTGCCGCCGCCGCTGCTGTCACCGCTGTTCGTGGACAAGCGCGCTCCACTGCTCGCAAAGTAACTACTCGCAAATGGCCTGCGTCCGCCGCGTGGGATCTACGATCCATTGCAAAGAGGAGGGCATGGCATGTTTTGCCCGGACGTTTGCGAGGAGGCACTTTGCGAGTAGCGGGACGCGCTCTGTGAGTTCTGGCAGCGCGCACAGGGGGGTACAGGGGGAGGGGGGGGGCTTCTTGGGAGGAGGCTGCTTCTCAGAGGGCCCCGGCCTGACATCCATAGGGAAGGCCCGCGCCTCCTGAGAAGCAGGGGCACTTCTAAGAAGCCTTCCCCGCTACCTTATTTGCCCTCTTTGAGCAGGGACCCACCGTCCCGGCATTTCTATAGGGCTACCACGGAATGTTCTTAGAGCCCGAAATGCTTAGAACATAAAACCGATATGTTGAAACAGGACAGACTCCGCCAGACATGTTCTGAGAACATTTCGTTGAATCCAGAAAGAGGTTCTTACAACAGTCTTTGGTAGGCCTATAGGCGAGCCAGGACACTTCGCCACTACTTGACATAGGGAAGGCCCGCGCCTTCTGCTTCTAAGTAGCCTTCCCCCTACCTCTACTGCGCGTGGCCGACTGTTGCGGTCGCCACCGCCGCCGCCGCCGCTGCCGCCGCTGTCTGCTCCTCCTCCTGCCAGGCCATGTGTATGGCCACCGGGCAGCCGCGGCTTTGACCCAGCCGCCCACGAAGCTTGCCCCAGTCGAGAGGTCGGAGATGGCCTGCTGGCGCCGCGGCAAGGGAGCGAAAGGCCCTTGCAGAATAATGATGGTAGTAGCAATTATGAGAGGATGAATAACAAAAAACATACGAATAAACATACCGTAAGCAAACTAATAAGACTAAGACTAGCCATGCTACGAATACGAATCCGAATCAACACATGTTACGATACGTCGTAACAATGATAATACATACATATTTGAAAAAGAAATAAAACAGAGTGGTGAACATACTAACCATTAAACTGATAATCTGATTAATACGGATATACATCGTAATAACAATCACACGACTAATACGGATACGATTCATCATGAATAAGAACAATAGTAATATTACTACCAAAATAAGAAACATACACATAGAAGCTGCAAGACACAGATATTGTCATACTTGTAACAAGCATCCTGGCTCAGAAAAGGCACCGTGGGGGCGGGGGACACCGAGAGAAGCCCAACTCCCTTGCAAATCGAATCTTCGAGGTGTCACCGAGAGCATGCCGCTACGGACGAGAGCCTGCACGGTTTCTTCCAGGGTCGTAGGCGACCCGAGGAGGAGGAGGAGAAGGAGGAAGCAGGAGGAGGAGGAGGAGGAGAAGGCGGAGGAGGAGGAGGGAGGAGGGAGGAGAAGGAGGAGGAGGAGAAGGACGAGGAGGAGGAGGAGGAGGAGGAGGAGGAGGAGGAGGAGGAGGAAGGAGGAGGAGGAGAGGGGAGGAGGAGGAGGAAAGGAGGAGGAGGAGGAGGAGAGGAGGAGAGGAGGAGGGAGGAGGAGGAGGAGGAGGAGGAGGAGGGAGGAGGGAGAGGAAGAGGAAGGAGGAGGAGGAGGAGGGAGGAGGGAGGAGGGAGGAGGGAGGAGAGGAGGAGGAGGAGGAGGAGGGAGAGGAGGAGGGAGGAGGAGGAGGAGGAGGTTGAGAAGGAGGAGGAGGAGGAGGAAGAGGAGGAGGTCGCCTAAGCCCTTCGGAGAAAGCCTCCACGCAAGCCGACGCGGCCTGTGGTGCCATCCTGTCAGCGCTGCCGGGGCCCGTCCCGGGCCAGGAGGGCCCAAGGCTCCCCTCGCCAGCAGGCAAGCAGGCAAGCAAGAGCTTGCACTCTGGAGGTGCGCAGGACGCGGGAGGAGGTGGAGAAGGGAAAGCAGGGGGAGGGGGAGGAGGAGGAGTTGAGGAGGAGGATGAGGAGAAGGGGGAGAAGGAGGAGGAGGAGGAGGAGGAGGAGGGGGAATGAGGAGGAGGAGGAGGAGGAGGGGAAGAAAGAGGAGGAGGAGGAAATCTGTGCCCTCCCGAACGGCGAGCCCAGAGGGGTCCTTTCTCTCGACGGCGCGCCCGAGGGAGCTGGAGCTTCGAGGCTTTTGGGCGTGTCCGGCGGTCCTCGGGGGCTTTCCAGCCTCGGGATGCTCCAGCAGCTGCGCCTCGCAGACAGCGCTCGGGGCGTGCCCGCATCGTCCCGAACGGCCGCCGGAGAGCCGAGCTGTGGCGCAGAAGCTACCAGGCGTGCGAGAGTGGGCCTGCCTTCTCAGAAGGCTCGGCCGCCCTGGTCAACGTTTTCTGATTCGGCGTTCCGGCATTGGGCAGAACGGGGGGAGGGTCTGGCTCTGGACCTCTGCTTATTATGGGTCTGTTCTCCACCACCACCA